TCGTGATCACTTGGTTCGGACTAAAAATTGGATGTATAAGAACCTCCCAACCCTAACTCTCGGAGCTTAAGGCGAGTAATAATCGATGTGTTTAGTCTTGTGTTGTTCTGATGTAACACAACAGCTGGGCAGTTCCGAATAAAGAGTTTGGACCTAGAGTGAAAGAGCTTTTATAATTTTATGCCGCTTACGAACGGCCGATGGATTATTTATGAGAAGCTTTTTTTTTCATGTCAGAACTACACTCGTTAAACTTGACATTTCTTTGCCGAGCAGCGACCGCAATTGGAAAAATCCATTTTTTATAATATTTACTCGAACTCTGATCTTCCAAAAAAACTAGATAGCACTTAATCCTTCCTCTTCCTCTGTTTCCATCGGCATCATAAAGTTGGACAGATATGATGAACGACTTATTTGGGCTATGTTCGCCGTGAGAGTATTTTCCTTTCAATTGCCTACTCAGTCCTATGTAGCGCCTTTTGGGAATAGTAATTCTACGCCAGATTTCAAGTCTAACGTGTTTTTGGTGTTGACATGGGAGTCGTGGCAAGTGCGATGACCTGTTTCCTTGATGACAGGAGATATTTCGAATTCTACTCTTTCACTACTAGACCGCGAGGTGAATTGTAGAGATATACAAGCGAAACAGCGCGATTGTTGAGCCTGAGGCCAATGATGTCAATATCATCGGCGTACGCCAGCCGCACTTATGGAATATTTACCCTTCTTCAGCTAAGGAGCCACCTCCTATGAAACCCCGTTTGCATCAAACGGCTCGGAGAAGTCTTTTCCGATCTTGACGTATAAGTTTTGCGGGGATACAAAATTCAGGCATGGTGGCGTAGGTTTCGGTACGGGGCCATATTTGGATAGCTCAGCTCGTAAGCAATCCGCTTGCGTCGGTTTGTTGTCCTGGGAGCGGATATTTATTAATCGAACTTTTTAAAAGTCAAGTGATAGAAGGTCTGCTCCATCATCGTGGTTTGGAAAACAATATTTTCCAACTTACTGTTTCATTTTCACTTTCATTCAGAAGGATGGAGAAGTGTTTCTACCATTAGCTCGGTATTCTCTGAGCAATAGTTGCTCTCACTCTCACTTTTTGGGACCCGCATGAGTATTCTGCAGGCTTGAAGTAAGCCGCAGTACTTTTCTTATGGAATTTTTGAGCTTTTTTTTCATTTCTCCCACACAACACGCATGGCGTTCGACCAAATAATATGTTCTTTATTTGATGAATAACTTTTAATACAAAAAAATTAGCAACTTTCAAAATATTTGCCTTTTTCTCATATGCTTAAATTTAAATTTCTAACCATTAATTAAAGAACCAAAAAGCGCACTCATTGCCAAACAATTTCTGACTTCCGCTATACATATAGCTTTAAAAAAACTTTTCCAATTCCTTATTTTTTTTCTCTGATTTTTTTCTTGTATGTGCTTAATTTCAAAATTTTTAAAAATAATATTTCTTCACAGTAGTTTACTCATTCAAAAATTTACTTATGTATGTATTGTTATTTAAGTCATTTTTTTCTTTGAAAATTATTCACTAAATGACATGTCTTTAAATCCCCAAGCTCCGTGACATTAACAAATGTGTGTATGTTGGGAAAATTGAAGAGAATCTTTGCCTAGAACAATTTTAAATCTTTTATTTGTTCTTTTTTTTGGAAAGTTTGCCATTCTCTGCGTTATGTACAAAAAAAAAGTTTAGTGGTTAGTAATCTTAAGCATTTTTTTCTTATTTCACAAATTTCAAAACTTTTTAAATATTTTAAGTTTGTAAAAGTTTCGTGCAGCTGTTGACAATATATCTATTTCCTTGAATTATATGTTCCTTCTTTTTTTTGTTCTTTACTTAGCTTTTTTTTTGTATATGTAGGTATGTACATATATATATTATATAAAGTGAAGTTTTTTTAATTTTTTGTTTCATTTCGCTCTACACACTTTAACCAACTGTCAAAACATTTTCCTGTTTTATTTAATTAAAAAGGTATTTTTTTCTCTTTTATACAATAGATATAAAGGTAAGGTGGAAGACAGTATGTAAATCCCCTAGCGTTTGATTAATTTCGTGCCAAAATTGCTCTCTTTATTTTAGGAAACCATTACAATTTCGATTTTTTTTTTCAGATTAAAAAAAAATTAATTTCTTAACAAAATTTATAATATTCCACTACTGAATTTTTATGTGAGTAAGCACACATTATTGCTTCAAATATTTTTTGAAGAGTTATCTTGGTTAAAAAAGTCACACACATCACTTTAAATAATTTTCATAATTTAATATGCTTATTTTAAGAAAAATATCTGTTAATTTTATAGCACAACATTCCATTTTAATTAGTATATACATAAGTATGTATGTGCATACATATATACAAACAATTAAAAATAACATAAATATAATTACAGTTATTTACATAAAACACACACGTATATATGTATATATCTATGTATCAGCTCTTTAAAGCCACATGCAAGAAAAAAATGTCATACCAAATTTATGTTGTGGTCATTCGTTTTTCCTTTTTTAAATATTTATGTACATTTACATGTATAGATGTATGTAAGTATGTAGGTTTATTTTTTAGGGCAGATTTATTGATTTGCATAAAAACACTTTACAATAAACCTAAATTATTGTGGAGTGATAAAAGATATACATACATATGTATACGTACACACATACCTACTTTTTTTAATAATTTTATTCAAAGTCTACGTCATCACATCTCAAAACGGCACTGCTCCTAATGCTAGGTGTAGTTGTAATATTAAAAAAAAAAATTTACTTAAGTATGCTCAGATTAAAATCTATAAAATATTCATTAAAGAGTGGTACATCTTTCGGCTTAGGCAGTTACACACACATACAACTAATAATTTTGAATAGAGAAAGAATAGTAAAAAAATGTGTAAGTTTAAAAATTTATTTTCCGCACTTTTTTATTTACTTTTTGATGTTTTTTTTTTTAATTTATTCTTTTCATTTATATATTTTTTATATTTTGTTTTTCTATTGCAGCTTCTTTATTTTTTTTTCATTTATTTTACTTTTTTAATTTTACTTCTTTTATGTTTTTCTCTTTTTATTTTTTTTTTATTATTATTATTAATTTTTTATATTTTGCTTTTACGATTATATTTAAATATTGAAACAAAAACACTCATACATATATGTATCTAGATATTAATATATTCACATATGTATGTACAAACATAGCATATTTGAACTCATGCCTGCTTGAAAAATATATGTGTGTATATACATTTGTATATTTGTATCATTTCATATTCAAAAAACTTTTATTTATTGAAACTTAAATACAAATTTATGCATTAAATCGATTTGGCACTGAACACCACGAAGACAATGGACTTTATAAGTATTTTAACATTCATACATATACACATACAAACATATACATATATACATTAATAAATACGATTTGTAAATTTGTTTATAGGTTTTAGTAAGTACCTGTGCGTTGAAAAGTGCCGCATTTTGAGCTGTTTTACATTTTTAATGAAGCCGTGTCTTCAACAAAAAAAAAAGCAACAGCAAAAACACCTTAATATGAATGAATTAAAATTGAATAAATCTGGTATTTATGCGCATACTAAAATTTATTTTATTTTATTTTTTATTCACTTCTTTGTTTGTTAAAAGTTAATAAATTATAATTTATTACAATACATGAATATGTAAGCAAAAGCCAAAAGTATCAATACAAATTTTTCGTAAGCAATAACCAAAACTATCAATTTCATTGTAGCAATAAAATAATAAAGTTAATAAACTTTCAAAGCAATAGAAAAGTAGAAAAATAACTAAAATTAAAGAATTTCCTTGTAAACTGTGATTTTAGCTCATCTATTTTGCGCACAACACTATTTATTCCATCTGGCTAAATATTATTCAAAAATGTGCATAAAAAAGCGCAGTTTTTAGAGATAGTGTTCCGGCTAATCAAATCCATTTACTTAAGCAAACATTTTAGCGTAAGTCAAATGGTGCCTTCGTTTCTTAATGAAAATTTCGCATTATTGTGGCGAAAAGTACCCGAATTCTACTCTATGCACTACAAAAAATCATGAGTAGAAATAAACAAAAACCGGCCTCATTGCCTTACCACGGGGCGCCATAATTTCTAGAAACGAAAACATTGCAAACTTCAACCGCTGCTTGCACAGCAATAAACGGAAGTGAATTTGCTAAACGCCCGTATGCGGATGGGGATATGGTATGGGTGCATATATACTTATGTATAAATGGCTTTATCTACATATACATATGTAAGTCATCCAGTTCTTGGAATTAAATGGGGCTGAATTTTTAAAATCTTATTTCACAAATGCTGCAGACTTCAAAATAATTGCGCGTACATCGCTCGTAGTGACAACCGGAAATCCGTTTTGTATTTCGTTTCAGGTGAATTGAAGATATTTTCTTTAAAAACGCAATTAAACATATCACAATTAACACTTTTACCGCACACGCGCACCTAATAGATATAAACACATTTTATATTACAAATTATTCTTTAATTTATACCGCCGAAAGTTTCACAATTTGCAATTTTAAATGAATTATTTCGAGCGTCCACAACGAGTACAGGATGATGCATATATAAAAGTTAAATTTTTATTATTTTTTTAAGATTTTTTTAGAGTCAAAAAAAAAATTTTTTTTTTTTAATTCCGTAACACATAAAGTATTTAGTTATTTTATATAAACTAAAACAGGTATATTTAAAAAAAATTTCAGCCTTGATATTAAGGTCTTAAAATATATATTCTCTTCCTTGTTAAAATTCCGTTTCTCTTTTATACAAATTAAGCACTATATTTTTATTTAAACAAATATGGTTTTTCAATTAAACTCAGTTCAATTTTGCAGTTTTATACACTAACAAGTTAAAAAGTTAAATTTGATGTTATTGATTGTTAGCAATTTTTAACTTTCCTGCACCCTGTTTTTTCCGTAGGCACCAATTAACAATGTATGGCAACACTTCTGCCGGCTGTTTTGTTTCGACACTTCAATTAATAAACAGCTGATAAATAAAAGACGTGCATAGAATTTTGTTTTGTAAATTTTGTCGGAATTTATTAAATGAACGTAGATAAAAGTGTAATAAATACAACAAATAAAAAAATGGATGATCCTTTGCGCCCTAAAGCGGTGCCGCTTGCTGCAGAAACAGTGCTTTGGTTTGAATTTCTACTGGATCCCCAATTGATTACCAAGCACTTGCAGAAATCTAATCCGGGTAATTGCATTTTGCATTAAGATATGCGTTACCTATGTATTAATGAAAATGAAAATTTGCAGATCCGAGTGCTTTAGAGTTAATGTCACAATTCATTACCGTTACACCCGATGTTATAGTTTTAAGTTCACCGGAGCCTGAAAACATGCCTGGTGGTATGCCGGTGACACCAGGCGCAGGCGTAACTACTGCACCAACATTGGTTAACAACTCGGAGGGTCTACGTTTGCCGCGTAAACAAATTGCATTAAAGATTTTAGCGCTTAAAGTGGCTACATGGTTGAAATGGAATTTGGGTAAAAGTGCAATGTTGTATTAAATATGATAGGAGTTTGTATATAAATATTTGTTAATTGCAGATGTTTTGGAAAAGAGTTTACCCATATCTAAACAATTATTTTTGCTGCGTGATTTGTGTACAATATGCTTTGGTAAATTAGTTAGTATACCTTTGCTGCAGGATTTCCAGCCGAAAATCAGTAAGTTTTACCAAGTTTTTACAAAAACAACAAGCTTTTTTTTTAAATATATGTGCCTCATATTTATAATTATAAAAAAATTGATTTTCCAGCACCTGATGGCCATGAGCATGCTGCACGTTTTGCTCTAACTTTTTATCACCGTTGGGTCTTGCGTTTACAAATTTTAAAAGATATTGCTATGAAAGCAGCGCGACCGTCCATAGCTAATATGTGAGTAACTTAATTGTTTATATAAATATCGATTGGGAATAATTTTTTTTTTTAAATGTATAGGTTTGTGCCCATGGAACCCATGCACCAGTTTTTCGCACCTGAAATACCACCACAAAACAGCGTAGAATATCTGCAGGAACTTTGCAAATCCACAGAACCTTTTTATGTCTTCACTTACGACACATTTGTAACGCTGCATGCCGATACTGAGACAATGAGACAAAACTTTGAACATATGCAAAAGATTTCTTTGGCTGAATTACGTGCACAGATTTACTTTGATTTGGTGAATTTCTATTTGTATACAAAACAATATAGACTAGCACGTGAGGCTGTCAATGAATGTCGACGAAATTTAAAAGAAATGAAAGCAGACTATAAAACAGAATCGGCTAAGCACTCAACTGTTGCTGGCTATCTCTTCTGTCATGTTAATGACGATGAATTGGAAGGCTATCTATTGGCATGTGGCTGCAGTGAACAGCGTACAACGTTAACCGAACGTTTTAATGCTTCGTCATTGAAGCAGTACAGAGTGAGTTTAACAAAATAGAATAGTTTTTAATGAAATTTTATAAAAATCAATTATATTTGAAAATAATAATTTAAGGACATTACTGAAATACTGAAAGAAGATAATCATATACGTGAAATACCGCTAGTTAGTCGTCGTATACTCGAACTGGACATTGAGGGCGCCATTTCGCAGGGTTCGCTAAAAGAAGCACGAGTACTCGAAATGCAAGTGGCTGCATTGAATGTGGTGCGCAGCATTTTTGAAGATGGCAACATATTTACAAGTGTTGATTATTTTGAAAAATATAAACATATGAATTGTTATGTAGCTATAATGGAGGTATGTTAAACGTTTATAATTTTTTTTTTTTTTTTAATATTCCTAAGAAACTTTATTTTCCATTTACATATAGGCCATCAACAATGTGCTGCCGCACTGCACGCTTAGCGAACGAAATACAATTAAAAATTTCCTTATAGACAGTATTTTGAAACAAAATAATGGCAAACAATTTCTACAACATTTGCAACACTTGCAAATTTTCACACCAACAGAATTGCAGGATTTGGAAAGGCAAACAGCCGAAGAGGAATTAATTGTGCCGCCACTAGCTACACTTAACGAATGGAAGTTCAGTTCGAAGAGTGAGTTTTAAAGACAATTTATTTGTTTTTTTTTATGTTTGTTATTATCACTACTAATTTTCTTTACGTTTATTAATTAATTTTTTTTGTTTAACTTTTTAATTTAATTTTTTTTTAATTAATAATTGTAACTTTTTTTCAATTAATTGTTTTTCTTTAATTTTTTTAGTACTATTCTTTTAAGTTGTTCAATCAAAATTTTTTTTTTGTAATTTATTACTTCTTCATTTTTTTAATTTATTACTTTTAATTTTATTTTTTAGCTTATTGCTTTTAATTTTTTTAACTTAGTACTTATAATATTTTTTTAATTTATTACTTTTTTTTAAATTTATTACTTTTTTATCTTTTCTTAATACATTTATTAAGTTCTTGATTTTGTTTTTATTAATTTTTAAATTTTTTTATTTATTTATAATTTTTTTATTTTATTATCTATTTTTTAATTTATTATTTTCTAAATTAATTTTTATTTAATTTTTTTTTTTGTTATTTTGCTTTATATTTAATTTACAATTTTTCTTAGTTTTTAATTTTTCTTATTATTTTATTTAGTTAAATTTTAAATTTATTATTTTTTTAGCATATTTTTTATTATTTATTTTTCATATTTTAATTTTCTTTTTATTTAATTTAAGCAGTTTTTTTTAATATATTAAAAACAATATGTTTTGATAAATTTTTTTTTAAATTTTTAATACATTCCTTTTAAATTTTTTAATATATTTTTTTTTGTTAAGATATTTTTTTTAAACTTTTTTAATATGTTATATTTTGACATACATTAATATAAATTTTTGTTTATTTTGTGTAAACTTTTCAATATGTAGTTTTTAATTTTTTATTACATTTATTTAATGTTTTAACAATATTTTTATTATATTATTTATAATATTTATATTATATTATTTATAATATTTATATTATATTATTTAAAATACTTAAATTATATTATATATAATATTTATAATATATTATTTATAATATTTATATTAGATATGATTTTTCATTTTTTAAATTTTTTTAATGCATTTATTTTTAATTTTTTCAATATATTTTTTTTAAATTTTTTTAATATATTTTTTTTTAATTTTTGAATATATATATTTATTTTAGTTTTTTCAAATGTATATTTTTTTTTTTTTAATTTTTAAACTTTTTTTAATTATTAATTTTTTTTTTAATTTTTTAATATTTTTTACTTTCATTATTATTTGTTCCTTTTTTTTTAATTTTTCTAATATTTTTATATTTAATCCTTTTTTCATGTTTTAGTCATGCGTATTGAGGTCGGCTCACTGGAGCGTCATTTGATTTCCTGCACAAATGCGAATACCGTACGTAAATTATTGGTAAAATTGGCGGCGACCAATCCAACTAAGCCGCTTTGGACAGTGAATCCCAGCTGGGAGATTGCCACACCTATCAAATCGTTGCTCATGTCTATGCAACGTGGTTTCTTGCAAGATTTCGCTTATGTCTTACTAGGCAAAGCGCGTGAAATGACCGCGAAGGGTGTAAGTTGTTTGTTTTTGTTTTTTTATTGATTTTCAATAGAAATTTTCAGAAAAATTTTAATTCTCATTAAAGGACTACGTTGGCGCAGTATCCATGCTCAGCGTGCTGAAATCGGAAACGCAACGACAGGAGCTTTCCAACACCATAATGGTTTCAAAACTTGGCAAGCTGGTCAACTGGGAAATACTGCTCATACAAATCACACAATGCTTAGAGGAATGGAATTGTAAAACTTTAGATCTGCAATCGCTGGCGAACCGTTGCAAATTGTGTTTGGTATCACTACAAAGCACCGACAATATAATACCACGCATTGAGGTGAGTTTTTGTGGAAGAAAAATCGGTTTTTTCCTTTTACTTTCACTAACAAACCCCCTCCTCACCGAACAGATAGTGGAAAGCTGCGCTCTAATGCTACTCAACCTGGGCGATTGGAGTTCGATAATGTTCTTGGATAAACGTGTGCCACAACTCGAGCTGCCGATTGCCTTCGCCGCCACTGTGCTAGATATGGAGAAAATGAAGGGTTCAAAGAAGGTGTGTCGTGATGCTTTCGATTTGGTTTTGCAAATGTTTGTGAATACCACGAAACGTAGTGGCGGAGCTGGCGGTGGCCCGGGTGGTAATAATTCGCGTAATTCACCTTCACTCGCCGTCTCGACCGGTCTACAACCGTTTTTAAAACGTATACGTCATCAACTCATCTTCTCGCTGGCCATATCGTGTCTTGGCAAAATACAAAACATACTTCGTGATGATACAAATCATGATTTGTGTGGTGAATATATGCACTTGTGGCCAGCGGGCATACCAAGGTGGGTTTGCCCAAAAATTGTGTTGTTTTTTTGTATAAACTAATAATTCATTTTAAATCCTCCACCAGCAGCCCCTTGGCCTATAGCGTGCGTGTAGTTTGCGAAACGTTGCATTGGCTGTTGACCGAAGCTCTGAAATACTATCCACAAACTATTACATGGTTGAAAATGAAGGGTGATTTGGAATTGGGTGAGTGAATTCGGGTTTTTCCTACACCCCTAACGCATACTAGTAGACTCTAGGCATGATTTTGAAGCAAAAATGGATTTAAAAAAATTTTGTGTTGTGTTGTTTTCAACTTTATTGCGTGATATGCACTGTTTTGGAATTTTAAATTGTAAATTTCATAAATTTTCTTATAGCAATTGGTAATAACGAGGCCGCCATGCGTTGTTACGTGAATGCGCTTATCACTGGCACCGATTACTGTACATTTCCATTGCAGCGCAATGTTGCTGATGATTATGTTATACATAAAATGATACGTTGCTCATCCAATTTGGGTTGTCACATGCAGGCCACTGTGTTGTGTCAGGTAATATATTGTGTTATTGAATATTTGCCATCAACTAATGATTTTTTACGTTCTCAGTTCCTAGAAGAAATCGATTATGGAATTGTTTTCAAAAAACTTACAGAAAAATCGTCAAATTTTACGGATGCAATGGATGCGTATTACAATTGCATTTGGGATACTACATTATTGGAATTCATAATAAATTTACATGCCCGAAAGGGCGAGCATAGCAGAAAATTGGAAGCGGTAAGGGAAAGAGAAGTGTTAAAATAATTTAAATTTTTTTTTTAAAAATAGAGAATAAAAAATAGAGAATTCAGAAAAAAAACTAAATAGAAATTTCAAAATAAATATAAAAAAAAAACAAATGTAAGCTAAAAAAATAATACTTAAAAAGTTGAAAATTATAAAATAGAAAATTATAAAATGGAAAATTAAAAAAAAATATATAAAATTATTAGATAGAAAATAAAAAAAAGAAAGAAAATAATAATAAAAATAATAGAAAGTTAATAGAAATATGATATTAAAAAAATTGAAGATGAAAAAATAGAAAATTAAAAAAATAGAAAATTATAAAAAAAAGAATACTAAAAAAAGAAAATAAAAAAGTAAAAGGTAAAAATTAAAGAGAAAATTAAAATATAGAGCGTTAAAAAATATATAATTAAAAAAATATAAAATTAAAAAAATATAAAATTAAAAAAATATAAAATTAAAAAAATAAAATTAAAAAAATATAAAATTAAAAAAATATAAAATCAAAAAAATTAAAAAAAAATTAAGAAAATAAAAAATTGAGATTAAAAAAAATTAGAAAATCAAAAAAATAGTAAATTAAAAAAAAATATAGGAAATTTAAAAAATAGAAAATCAAAAAAGTATAAAGTTAAAAAATAGAAAATCAAAAAAAAAATAGAAAAATAAAAAAATAGAAAATTCAATAATAGAACATTAAAAATATGGAAAATTAAAAAAATAGAAAGTTAAAAAATAGAAAATCAAAAAAATAGGAAAATTAAAAAAATAGGAAAATTAAAAAATAGAAAATTTAAAAAAAGAAAATAGTAAATTAAAAAAAAAAATTTTTAAATTAAAAAAAGAAAAAAACCAAAAGGTAAAATGGAAAGAGAAAAATAAAAAAAAAAAAATTATAAAAATAAAGAAAATAGAAAATTAAAAAATAGAAAATTAAAAAAAATATATAAAATTATTAGATAGACAATTAAAAAAAAATAGAAAGAAAATAAAAATAAATAGAAAATTAATAGAAATATGGTATTAAAAAAATTGAAGATGAAAAAATAGAAAATTAAAAAAATAGAAAATTATAAAAAATAGAATACTAAAAAAAGAAAATAAAAAAGTAAAAGGTAAAAATTAAAGAGAAAATTAAAATAAAGAGCGTTAAAAAATATAAAATTAAAAAAATATAAAATCAAAAAAATATAAAATTAAAAAAATAGAAAATTAAAAAAAAATAAAAACATTAAAAAAAAGTAAATAAAAAAAATATAGAAAATCAAAAAATAGAAAATTAAAAAAATATAGGAAATTTAAAAAATAGAAAATCAAAAAAAAATAGAAAAATAAAAAAATATAAAATTCAAAAATAGAACATTAAAAACATGGAAAATTAAAAAAATAGAAAACAAAAAATATAGAAAATAAAAAAAATATAGAAAATTAAAAAAATAGAAAGCTAAAAAATAGAAAATCAAAAAAAAAAGAAAAATTTAAAAAAAAGAAATTTAAAAAAAATATAGTTAATTAAAAAAAAAATTTGAAAATTAAAAAAAGAAAAAAACCAAAAGGTAAAAAGGAAAGAGAAAAATAAAAAATAGAAAATTAAAAAAAAAACAAAGAAAATAGAAAATTAAAAAAAATATAGAAATTTAAGAAATAGAAAATTAAAACAAAATATAGGAAATTTAAAAAATAGCAAATAAAAAAAATAGAAAAATAAAAAAATACAAAATTAAAAAATAGAACATTAAAAAATGGAAAATTAAAAAAAATGGAATATTAAAAAAAATTGAAAACAAAAAAATATAGAAAATAAAAGAAAATATAGAAAATAAAAGAAAAGAGAAAGTGAAAAAATAGAAAACTGAAAAATAGAAAGCTAAAAAAATAGAAAATTAATGAAATTTTGGAAAATTAAAAAAAATTAGAAATTAAAAAAAAATATAGGAAAATAAAAAAAGAAAAAACCAAAAGGTAAAAAGGAAAGAGAAAAATAAAAAATAGAGCATTAAAAAAATAGAAAATTAAAAAAAGAAAATTAATAAAAAGCAAATTAAAAAAAGAAACTTAAAAAAAAAAGAAAATTAAAAACAAAAGAAAATAGAAAATTAAAAAAAAAGAAAATAGAAAATTAAAAAATATATATGAAATTTAAAAAAAAAACAGAAAATCTAAAAAATAGAAAAATAAAAAAATAGAAAATTGAAAAAATAGAAAATTAAAGAAATATTATATATAGAATATTATTAAAAAAAAATGTTTAGGAAATTAAAAAAATAATTAAAAACAAAATAGGAAATTAAGAAAATAATTAAAATTTAAAAAGCATTGGAATTTGATTATTTTTAAAAGTTTCAATTTATTAAAATACTAGAAAATTAAAAAAAGATTGAAAATAAAGAAATAAAAAAAGTCCAAATAGATTTTAAATTTGGGAAAATTAAGATTATTAAAAAACTAAATTTAAAAAAAAATTATAAATAAAAAAATTTTAAAAAAATTAAAAGTGTAAAGAATTAAAAAAAAATTAAAAAAATAGAAAACTAAATTTTGATAACTTGAAAAATTTTTATTATTATTAAATTAGACATGTTTTAAAATAATGGAGAATTAAATAAAATAGAAAGTTAGAAAAATATATGTGTAAAAAATTTAGAAAAATTAAAAAAATGGATTTTTAGAAAATTTATAAATTGTAAAAAATAAAAGAATTCGGAATAATTTTTAATTTTTTATTAGAATTTTCTCTCAGAAATTTTAGAAATACAAAAAATTTAAAAAAATAAGAATCTTTATTTTTTATTATATTTTACTTAGATTTATAAATTAATTTAATTAGATTTATAAATGAAAAGTTTTTATTGAATTTAAAATTGAAATTCCTTACTCCTTTCAGATTGCTATTATGGGCTCCCTCGAATTGAATGCGAATAACAATGATGAGATAAAACGTGAAGCTGCTGCAATACGTAAAACACGCTTCTTACGCGCACTAGCCAAACAATATTTGTTGTGAAAGAAACGCATACACAAAATTTTTTATGTTTAATTTTTCGACTGTGTATTTTCCCAAACAAATGTAACATTAAAAAAAAAAACTTAGTAATTTAACAATACTTTTAATGATAAGCAGGTTTTTTACGATTATTATACAAAACACTGTATTCTAAACTTAAATGTAAAGTATTTTAGCGATAACAAACAGTTGAAAAATAGGTGTAAAACTTTAAAATATTGTAGTAAGTAAATAAACTGTCAAATGCTACACGTACATATATGTAAATTTAATTAGAAAATGGTTTGACTTAAAATAAAATAATTTCGAAATTTATTTTAACAAATCAGCTGCGTTTTTTTTTCGAACCAAAATGACAGCAACAAGTTACAACGTAAATAGACTTAATTATTATTCTTTATTGACTATGCTCGTTTATTATGTGAAATTTTTGCATTAAGCTTCTTTACTTAGGACGTCGACCGCGACCGCCACCACCGGCTGGTTTTGCTTTCTTATTTGCCGTTTTCTTATCATCTTCACCCTTGCGCTTAGGTGTGGGCTTATTCGTTGATGGCAGTACCTAAGCGTTTTATATTATATTAATTTTTTTTTTTTTTTTTTTTTTGAAGTTTTAAATCAAATAAACTTACCTTGAAAAAGTTATCCAAACGCCCTTGCGTTTGTGTATTTTTCGATTTCTGGATCTTTCTTGCGCCAGCGCGTACACGATCCTCATTGAATTGACGATCACCACATAAGAACTTAACCAAACCCTCCTCATCCGGTTCAGTCCATTTAAGCTGTCATCAAAGATAACTGTAGCATTATTGCTTTATTTACATAGATATTGTTAACTTTACCTCAATATTCATTGGATCTGTTACATCGGGGTTTATAAAGAGCTCACGCGCCACTTGATAATTCCAATCTTCAGCCACTGTATATTTCTTTTGATCAATATTCTTGAGTATGGTCTCTATATCACGATAAGTATTAATTAATTCAATTGCACGCTTTGGGCCAATACCTTTGATGCCTTCGCAATAATCACAACCCAATAGTATACAAAGATCAATGAACTAAGCGTTAAAAAGGGGATAGAAAATATTAAACATAGTTTTGTATAATTTTTCACTACCTACTCACCTCAGTACTTGTCAATTCGAAGCCTTGTAATATTTTCTCATAATTAAACTCTTTCACCGGCATCTTGCGCGCCTCACTGAACGTTAAGTGACGCAGTAACACACTGGAACCGAAAGTTAAAGCATCCATATCCTCTGTTGCCGTACCATAGACTTTGCCAGCCTTTACCAACGCCGCACATTGTGCTTCCGCTTCGCAGGGCGCCTCGACATATGGTACACCCATTAATTTTAGCAGTTCTTGCGCTTCACGTGCATGCTCTTTGGTCACACGCACCAAACGACGATTGAATTTCTCTACTTCTTCAGCATTGCCTGCCTCTTCTGCTTTTTCTAAAGCCTTTTGTGCTTCTTCACGTCGCTCAGCACGTTTAGCCAATTCACCAGATTTTAAATCTGGCGGTTTACCATCAAATACGTATACCGGCTTTATACCATGCTCCAACATGCGTATGGTACGATAAAACATACCCATCAAATGTGATGTTGGTTCACCATCCACTGTGGTTAGTTGTGCACCTTCCGAACGTACGGCAATTAGAAATTGGTAAAGGCACATAGATGCGTCTACAGCCACTTTACGTCCTGTAGGAATAAATTGCAAATTTTTTATGCTGGTTGAAACTTGTATTGCGAAATTCTTGTGCTTACCAAAATAGTTTTTAATTTCATTCTCTTTTATGGCAGACGGTGCGATATCTGCAATTAGTTTCGCTAAACCCAAAATTCCCATTGTGTTATTTTTTCTTTAATAATCAATTATTACTTAGACAAATATATGGAAATTGGAAATTGTAGACAAGTTAAAAGTGAATGGGAATTTTGTTGGCGCGCAGTTATTTACGAATGTGCAAGAGCGATAAGGCGATATGCGGGCTTATTATCGAAAGAAGTAATAATTTATCGGTGAGTGCGCAAACTTGTTTTTATTAACTTACTACAAAATTTTGCACAAATACAAGAAAATATTAATATTTAATATCGTTGATAAAGAAATGTATTCAGTCAAAATGCACATTTTAATACAAATGTATAGGAACAGACAAGCTCAATAGAATAATGTTAACATAAAAACTTTTAATGCGAAGAAATTTATAGAAAATTATATGATATGAAGAGAATGCCAATTGAATGTGGCTTACATACATTTTTAAAATCAACACCTTTATATAATATTTAATAGAAAATTACTAATTTAGTGTACGACTGTTATCGTTTAAGTTCCGCACAAAATAGCATACCTAAAAAATCATGCCTGTGCTGTTAAGAAGAAGAAGCATTTGGTTGAAGAGGAATTAATAAAATAGTTGAGTATATTTTCCATAAGTGAATTTTGTGCCAGAGAAACGGCGAGAAATATTTTTTCGGGCTAAAATATAGTAAATATGGTATGTAAAATAATAAAAACTTGCTAAAAGTATCAAATAGTGCCGAATGAATTGTATCGCAATGAAATTTTGTAAAAGTTGATAGTGTTTAGCAGGAAAAAATGCGTGGAAAAATACTTCGAGCGCGTCACATTCGGTGAATTTTTCGCTTTCATCGTTTCATCTTCATTTTTTTTCTCTTCACAATGAACGTCGTTTCGCTGCTTCGTCGTGCCGTGCCGTGCCGCGCTGCGCTGCTCTGCGCTGCGTCGTCGTCGTCGTGGTGGTGTATAAATATGGCGTCAGTTCATTTCCACACACACTACACATTTTGTACGGGCTTTCCTCGCTTGCCGCCTTTTGAGCAGGCTTTTCGTTAACACAGGAGCGAATTCATCTGATTGGAAATTTCGCGTTTTGCCTTTCAATATTCGCCTGGTTGTATTCGTCGCGGTTCGAAGCGACGGCAAGGTTCATTCATTTATTATTTTATTCATTCGCAAATGATAACCGAATGAGGAAGAAAAACAAAGGCGAAAAAGTTTTGGTTTTTTTTTTTTAAATTTTTGCACAATTTGTTAAATACGGACTTGTGTTAATTTTTTCTTTTTAATATTTCTGCTCTCGAGGGTGTTTAATGTTTATGAAGGCAACAGTTAACCTATTTTCATGTGTTCCGGCAAGTGAAATTCGGCAATACACTCGAATATTATGTATGTGGAAATGAACATGAGGTTGGGTGGAAGTGGGTGTATGTACATAGTCAAGAAGAAGTTAAAGCAATTTTCTTAATTCTTACATACGTAAAAGTTTATAAGCTCCATTATAAGTTAACTACATGTTAAACTTTAAATATATGTATGTACATACATTTGTATATATGTGTAGGAATTTTAACGGAAGCAGGACTGATTTTATGCACTTATTAGTAGCTTTTGCTTTGTACTAATGTATATGTATGTATTTGCTTACTTTCATATAACCTTTCGCGTAAAATACTATGTAGGCTCATATCTATGTACATGCACTTATTTAATTTATTTTAAAACAAAAAATTCTTAAATACAGAAACAAAGTACAGTTGGAACAAACTTCATAAATATTATATGTATTTATTAAAAAAGCCTGCTCATGCCACATGTGTTGAATTAAACTTATTCTTATAGCTGCCTACATATACATATGTATGTACATGCATATGTGGGCGCACATAATTTTGTGATAAAATTTTCATTTGTCCATTCCACATAATATACCAAATTTATATTAATAGGAAAACGAGAACAAAACAGAGGAGGCAAAGGCCGGTGGGGATACTACAGCGTCCACAGTTACGGCAGCGACAGAGAAAGCGCCAGAAAACGATAAGAAAGATGTAGCCGCTGGTGTTAAAGAAAGCTCAGAAACTGATGCAGTAACGGAGAAAAAAACCAGCACAGGTGCTGATGACGAAGTTGACGATAAGAAAGCGGATAAGGCGGCTCCAACAACAGAGAATGACGATAAGAATGCAAAATCAGAATCTGAAGCAGGTGGTGAGCAATAATGATATTTTTATATGTAATATTAAATAATTCATTTTTATTCATTTATTCACTTTTTTTACGGCGAATATTCGTGTTTATTAAATTGATTGTTGATAAGCAGTAAAATCAAAAGTCGGCCAGATAAAAATATAATTTTAAGAAAAAAACTAGCATTATAAATTTCTGTTTGTATATACCTACTTATGTATATATGTATGTATGTATATAAAGTAAAATGAATTGTTGGCATATCAAATGAATTGCTAGCAGTTGTTGCTTTTTTAGGTTTGTTGTTTTGCTACGTATTCTTGTCTCAGTGAACTGACTCCCGCTGCGCTGCGTTGTACGGCGTACGTTCTCCATATCTGTGTATGTATGCATAAACAGCAAGAAGCAAAACATACCATGTACTGGCCGGCTAATTTTACCGACGTTGCGTGGCGCATCGTGCTAGCGTGTTGTATTTAATATATGTGTTGAATTGGCGCGCTTTCTTCTTTGCCTATGTTCGAAACCCAGCTAGCGAAGTATGTTCTGGGTTGTTGTGCTGTGCTATGCGTGGAAGTGTTTGGGTTGAGGAAGTAGTTTGAAATAATTGAAATTTGTGTTTTTCTTCTTCCTTGCTTTGCGCTTTCTAAATAAAGTTTGAACACGACAGTTGTGCGTTTGAAAATTATATAATTCTCCAACGACGTGTCTTCAAATTACCCTTGGATTTGTTCATACTAAACCCTGACAAATATGGTTTTGTGTAGTAATGTCCAAGGTACAATAAATATTCGCTATTTCATAGTTTATCTCGTCATGTTATATGTGACTGTTAGACTTCCCAAGGGTGAAAACAAACAATTTTTTATTTTATTTTATTTTTTATAATATTTATTTTTTTATAATATTTATTTTTTTACACTATATGTACAAATTCTGTATTATTTAAAAAAAAAAAAGAAAAAATTTATGCTAAATTTTCTTATACACTTTTCAGATAAAAAAGTAGACGATAAATCTTCAGCCGATTCCGGTGACGATAAAAAATCCGTTCAAAAGGATAAACTCACAACAAATGAAGCTAATGACACCAAGAAGGATGACAAAGACGATGTAACAGATGGTGAAGATAAGAAGACTGATGGTAAGGAAAAAAATGGCACAGCAACGGGTGGGGCTGACGGTGTCGCCACAGCGCCTGTTGCAGATAAAAAGAAAGCCACCAAGGAACAAGGCAAAGAGAAGAACGATAAGAAAGTTGATAAAAATAAGGATGACAAGGAGGAGCAAGAGGATGTGGCTGATGATAATAAGGAAGTGGATGAGGAAGAAGAAGGTGTAGCTCTAGCTGAAATAGATAGGATTAATGATAATATAAATAAGACGCGCGTCGATGGATTGCAAACATTACACGAGTTTTGTTTCAATACGATTGGCAAAAATAATGTTGTAAAAAAGAATTTACGCTCTTTTGCCGGTTTCGAGTTTGAGAAAGACTCCAGCGATTATAAGGAAAAATTAGATGCCATTAAGAAAACCGATGCTAAGGCACTTAAGGGTATTTGTGATATATTAGCATTGGAACGCAAAGGTAAAAATATCAAGAAACTACGTATAAAAATCCCTAAAATAACACATATATAAAATTCTTTTTTTTTTTTTTACATAGGCACCAAAGAAGAGATTGCAAATCGTGTGCTCAAATTTCTTATGGAACCAGATGAATCATTATGTGTTGATGAAGCTGCTGAGGAAGAGGAAGAAGATATGGAAGACGATGAAGAGGTTAGTTGGCAAAATGCTTTTAGTTTTAGCGACGAAATTAAGTGGTTTTTCTTTTATCATCCCACAAAAAAAAAAAAACAAAAAAAAAAAAAATAGGCAGCAGAAGAGGAAGAGGAGGAGGAGGTGAGCGCTGAAGAAGAACGTAAACGTAAGCCAAGTGGCCGCGCACCTGCACGAAATTCAACAAGTGGTCGCCCAAGGCGTGCAACAGCAGGCAAAAGTACATATTCAGCTATTTTCGACTAAAATACATGTATATACATTTACAAACATAACTGAACGTACTCATTTTCTGTTTCTTTCAGAAATGTCTGCGTATGTTGACTTCTCCAGCTCAGATGAAAGCGAACGTAATACAGCGCCGCCTAAGCGAAAACGTCAGGATGACTCCGAGTCAGGCTCAGATGTAAGTGCGGATGATTTTCCGGGAAATGTTTTTTTTAAATACTATTTTTTTTAATATATATTTTTTTTTTTTTTTTTAATATATTTTTTTATAAAATTTTTTATTTTTTTAAATATATTTTTTTATAAATTTTTTTATTTTTTTAATATATACATTTTTTTTTGTTTGTTTTTAATATATTTTTATACTTTTTTTAATATTGTATAATTTTTTATTTTTTGTTTTTATATACTATATATATATTTTTAATATTATTTTTAATATATATTTATATTTTTTGTTTAATTTTTTTTTGGAATTTTTTTTAATTTTTTTTTTTTATTTTTATTTTTTAATATATATTTTTTTATTTTTATTTTTTTATATTTTTTTACCATATTTTTTTTTTCTTTTAATACATTATATTGTTTTTAATATATATTTTTTTAAATATATATTTTCTCAAATTTTTTTATTTTTTTAATATAAATATATATTTTTTTAATATTACTTTCTTAATATCTTAAAATTAATTTTTTTTATTATTAATTATCTTAATATTAATTGTTTTAATTTTTTTCAAATTAATATTTGCTTTAATATTAATAGTTTATTAAATATTAAATTTTCTTTAATATGAGTAGTTTATTAAATATTAATATTTTCTTTAATATTATTTTCAATATAATTTTTTTAATTTTTTTTTTTAATATTAATTTGTTTAATTTTTTTTTTTATTANTCAGTCGGTTCATCAGTCATTGCCTGAGACACGCTGTGAATTTAATTCTGCGCATGAAAGTTTTATTGTGTCACAGACTGGCAGATTGTGTGTGTCTTGTTTTTTTTTTTTTTTTTTTTTTTTTTTTTTTTTGCCAATTATGCTATCTCAAATCAGGTGCCGAAACGTAAACGCCCTGCACCTGGCAAACGTGGCCGACCTGCTGCTGCTACCGCTGCCAATAAACGCGGTACACGTGGTCGCGGCGCCAAAGCGACTAAATCGCGCAAACGCAAAGAATCTGAAAGTGAGGATGAAATGTCTGAGGATGAGGAGGAAGAAGAGGAGTTGTCCGACTTTGGCAGTGATCAGAGTGAGGTAGGGCGTTGAATTAGTGGTTATTTGTTTTTATTATTTATTTGTACGCAAATATGGAAATTTTCACTCTGTTTTTGAATTGCAGGAGGAAGAGGAGTCAAAGAAATTCAAGAAACCATCAGCGCCTGTGAAAAACGCTAAATCTAATAATAAAGCTAAAACGCCAGCTAAACGTAAGTGTGCAGTATTTGAAAGTAAATATGTTAATTTATTTTAGTGAGAAAAATATTTTAATTAATTTAAAATTCGAATTGTTTTATAACTCATATTTGTAAACTAGAAATTATAATTCCTTCTCTGCTTTTAGCTGCTGGGCGACCGAAGAAAGCAAGCAAAAAGGAGGAAGAAGAAGAGTCAGACGATGAGGATGAGCCGTTAAACAAAAAGGGCAAGGCGGCATTCCCCACGGTAAGCTTATATGCTTATATATTTATTATATACATAGTACATATGTACTTATTTTAAACATTTAAATTAATTAAATTTCAATTTCTCTCCAGGATGAGCAAATACGCAATTATGTTAAAGAGATCTTAGACAAAGCCAATCTCGAGGAGATCACAATGAAAACGGTGTGCAAGCAAGTGTACGCAAAATATCCAGATTTCGATTTAACAGATAAAAAAGATTTCATAAAAGCCACAGTTAAGGCGGTAAGTTTTTTTCTTCTTTTTTTTTTTTTGAATATATTATTCTATTAATTAAATTTTCTAACCTTTTTTACAGCTAATTGCGGCATAAATTAAATAAAAAAAAAAAATTGCAAATAAAAATATATGTGCAACATTTGCAATATGCAAAGAAAACGAAATGCCGCGCAGCACCACCAGCAACAGTAATATAAACAAACAAACAAAAAAAAAATATTACAACAAACTTACAACAGCTGTTTGGCGCTGTCTGCGCCACAGAATCGGTGTATTTACATATAAATATAAATTAGCTATTGAATATGTTTGAAGTGGCAATTTTGAGAGCTTTTGATAAGATTCCTTTATAACTTTGTGTTGGCTTATTTCTGCACATTCTCTACTTCTACTCCTCCTCCGGCTCTTCCTTGTAATTTGGGTGCACCTAGGGCACTTTTCATTGATTGAAAGCAAAAAACACAATATTACATATATATTAAAGAACAACAAAAACTTTTTTTTTTTTTGTTTTGATTATTTGACTAATTTTATTTGAAAGTATGCAAGTAACGTACATACATATATATTGATGATAATGATTGTTTTCCTCTCATTTTATACTTGAATAGTGTATTTGCACACACTCTTACATATATATATATATATTATACATTTTTCTCTTAGTTCTAAAGCATTGTATAAATACTAGATTTTTCTTATGACTTTCTAAAACACGAGAAACAAATACAAAAACAAAAAAAACAACAAACAATAAAAAGATTGTGGAATGCAAATTTGTAGAATTTCTGTAAAATGTTTAAATATATAATAAAGATAAACAGTTATAAAAACAAAAACAAAAAAAACTGAATGGAAAAAATTTAACAAAAAATGTGCGTAAAATTAAGTTATGCAAATTAAATAATAAACAAATCTAAAGAAATAAAGTAAAACTCAAAAAAAAAAAAATACATATTACATATTTCATTTATACATTTCCCCTTCAAATACAAAAGTTATTTGTAAAAAAAAAAAACAAAAAAAAAACGAAAAACGTAGACGAGTGTAAACTTAATTTTTTGTTTCGGTTTAAGTGGGAAAAAGGAAATTAACAAAAAAGGAAATACATAAAAAATATTACACTGGCGTCAGTACAAAAAAAAATTGAAATTAAATTAAATTAACAAAAAAAAAAAAAAAATGGTTAAAAAATATACACATTATTTTTTAATATTTGGCAAAAGAAAATGTTTCGAGTATATTTGACGCATGAAAAACCAGAGCAAAAATATGGCTTAAGGCAAAACAAAAACTAATATAAAAAAAAGTATGTGCGACATGTTAAATTGTGAATGCAGCAAATAAGTGAAATAAAGTAAAAAAATAAAAATAAATTATAAAATTATATGTAAAAGAAAAAAGGTTTATTTTTATTCAGCGGGGCGGGCGATTGGGTATGTTTCTGGGTATTAGTTATGAGTTCGTAACGATCATGCAGTCTCTTGTATGCACCTTCTTTTCAGCATTGGCAAAAAATATAATAAAATATTTAACACCGGTTTTAAAAAAAAAATAAAATAAATAAATAAAAATAAAAAAAAAATAAATAAAAAAAAAATAAAAATAAATAAAAAAAATAAAAATAAATCAAAAAGAAAATAAAAATAAAATAATAAAAATAAAAAAAGACCAATTTTCAAATTAAATACAAATTTGTATTTGATTATTTATTAAACTAACAAAAAAAAAAAAGTTAAAAAAATTGTTACTAATTATCAAAAAAATTGCAAAAATTTGATTATTGATTTTTAAAATTAGTTCAAAATAAATATTTAATTATTAAAAAAAAAAAAATACTAAAAAATGTATTCAACAGAATTTTTAAAAATATGTTAAAATTTATTTTTCATTCATTCAATTACTGAAAAATATTTACAAATTGTCACTTTAATGCTTACAAAAATAAAGGAAAAAGTTTTCAAAAGAAAAATTCAAATTTAGTTCCTCTTAAAAGAAAAGTATACACATATGGATATGCATATGTATGTATATACTAATTCTCGAATTAATTGAATTAAAAATCTCTTATTAGAAAACAAACCAAAATTCAAAAATTCGATTTCATTATTTACATAAAAAAACATATTTGACATTTACTTTTTAAAATTAAATTAAAAAAAATATATATAATATTGAAAAGAGAAAAAAATTATCATACGTTTTATTAAATCAAATTTAAATATTTAATTTTTTATTTATAAAATATTGCGGTCTAGCGTTGTCCTGCTGGAATATGACACCTTTACGATTGACTAATTCTGGTCACTTCTCCTTGATGGCTGTATTCAATTTGTCCAATTGTTGACAGTAAACATCCGAATTAATCGTTTGGTTCCTTGGAAGCAGCTCAAAATATACGACACCCTTCCAATCCCACCAAACAGACGGCATAACCTTCTTTTGGTGGATATCAGCCTTTGAAGTGGTTTGAGCTGGTTCACCATGCTTGGACCATGATCGTTTTCGACTGACGTTGTTGTAAACAGTCCATTTTTCATCTCCAGTAATGATTCGTTTCGAATTCATTACGTTTAAGGTGTGCGTATCACAAGCGTTGATTCGGTGTGTTAAATGAATTTCTTTCAATACATGTGGTACCCAAATATCAAGCTTTTTCACCAGTCCAAAACTTTGTATGTGAAAATGAACGGTTGATTTTGGTATATTTAACTTCTCTCCTATCTCACGCTCAGTTACATGACGATACATTTCGATTAATGCTTTGATTTGGTCATCATCAACTTCATTTGGCCGACCTGAACGTGGCTCATCTTTAAGTGAAAAATCTCCAGAACGGAATTTGCGAAACCAATTTTGACACTGTCTTCCTTTTAAGGCTTCATCACCATACACATCTCGTAACTTTTTAGCAACCTGCTCCGCGTTTTTTCCTTTACCGAAATAATAAAGTAAAATATGACAAAAATGCTCCTTTGTGGGCTCCATATTAAAATTGACGCCAAACAAACAAATGTAAACAAAATTTCGCGCACTTTTTTTCTAAAGCAAGCTAAAAGTAACAGCTGATAACTGACAGAAGAAAGAATGCAATTACAGAGTCACAAGCCGTTGAAAAAATTTTTCAACGCCGACTATATGAAAAATCCGCAATTACTTTTTGGGCAACCCAATAACACCGTTTAGGTGTGCAGGTAACAACATTAGTCTAAGTTGCTATGCCGTCATATCCATCGGATTGGTTCTGTGTCACCATTTAAGCTTAACTTGTCTTTATCGTTTCCCTCCTTTACTGTCGGCTTGCGTTTTGAGGACTTTATTGCGACTCTGCACTTAAATAGGAGTTGTGGTCTTCTACGTGGTGATAGAGTACAGGCGGCTGTCGAGAGTGCTTTCCAGTAAATTGGGATTGATTATTGTCGGAATTGTGACGTCATCGACTTTTACATTCACTTCGCGTCAGTACTCCTACATTTAGCTGGCGAAGAGATCAGCTGATCGTAGTTATAATTTTCATGCAGTGAAGTAGTGGGAATAAAGGTTGTCACTATCTTGGCATGAGACCAGAAGAACGTACTCTAGTTTAAAGATATTAAACAATAACCTCTCCGATATTCGAACCAATTCTGTGAGTTGTTTCTTCTTTAGGTAAACATCGTCGGGTGCAATTCCTTCAACTTTTTGTTCATAAGTTTTGGTTTGTGGTCACGTTGATGCTTCTGGACAGTCTCGGGTTGACAATAGCTCCAAGCTTTATTGCCTAATAGTAACTATACGCGACTAAACACTCCCTAATAACCCCTCTAGTTTTGCGAGCATAAAAACGCTCTCTCGTACGATACGATATAAATAACTATAATAAATAATTGCTGACTTACCTTTTGATTTAAATTTTATCAGTTCAAAAGAAATAAATTAATTAACAAAATCACTTTTAGGTTATACTTTATTTAATTCCATACACACATATATATATATATATATTTACAAGAGATTTCTTTTCAGTTGATGGCATACATATATGATTAAAACTAACGTATCATTTATGAATTTAATTTAAACGGCAAATTTATATATAAAATAATATAAATATAATGATTTTTTTTTTATTTTTATTGGTAATTGTCACTTAATGCATTTCATTGTGAATACAATTCAAAGTTAGGAATACTCGATACTCGATACGAAACTGATGAAAGTTGGCATACGCAGTGGCAGCTCGATTCGACACTGCCTTAAGCTGCATATAATACGGGAAAGACAAACAAACTGTCCTTGTTAATGGCATAAAAGCAAATTCGATTTTTACCCCTGACAGACAGCACTTAATGCGCATTAAGTTAACAGCTGATTTTGGGAAAAACTTTGCAATCAAAACGACAAGGAAAAATAAATTAAAAAGCAAAAAACGATTAGCAGTTATTTTATGGGAAACAGAATCTATTACTATTTAAGGTCTCCGAACCGGACTGTGTTCGCTAGCTCTCGGAAGAGGTAATCGCAATTCGCCACCGAGATGTTGTGATTTAACATCTTGCGACTTCTTTCATATTCGCCACGTGAAGGATAAGGTGAATATATTAAATCAGCGTCAATTTATTGTAGTTACTAGAGATCTTTACCGCGCAAAGTTTTCAGATTTCAAATGCGTAGTTTTTTCTTACTGCGCAGTAGACGGTGGTATATAAAAGTTAACGCCACACACACTGAAATTGGGCTGCAAAACTTCTCACATATAAATATGTAATTTTACATAGCAAAGAAAGCTGAGTAAGCATGCGGCTTACAATTAGATCGCTATCCCACGGAGATACGACACCACATGCGCATCCACCCAGACGCTGACGGTGCACTACCATTCATTGGAACAAACAGTCAACACAACACAACAGCTATAAGAACCAATTAAATTTCTCTCTAATTACTTAGTAGTAAATTTGGATTTACATCATCAAGTGAAAGACGACATAGTCGCCGAAAAATATAATTTTTTTAGTTTAAAACGACTTAGAAAATTAACTTGTACAACAAGCAATTATGAATCAACCACCAGAACAGCATTCATACAACGTTCAACCTCACTCCTCTAGAGGTAGGGGC